ATATTTCACAAAAAAATTTGAGTGTTCAGTATGGATTTGGACTGCCTGAGTTCATACTTTGTTTACTGGGACCCAGTAAAGGTCTCTTGAATAAAATAGGCAAAGTCATTCACTCATGTTTTCCTTTTTGATGTGGTTGCTGTTAGTACAGTTTATTTTGACTTGCACAGATCATTTGGTGAGGTGATATCTGAAGGGTAAGTTCATGGGGTTGGTTTAAATGGGTAAATATTGTGGAGTGAAGACAATAGATTAAATCGTTTATATGATTTAATGTTGTTAACAACACAAAAAGCAGCTGACTATACAGAGAGATTGTGTTGACAAGAATGTAAAAAAAAAGAATAATGACTTGTGTTTTATTTTCAGGTTAGCAAAGTTATAAAGAATAGTGTGAGAATGTGGGTACATGGTCACACTCAATTCACTGCTAGTAGAATAAAAGCCTTGAAATATAGAATTTCAATTCTGAGGATTTGTGCAAAAGAAAGCAAAAAGAGGTTATTATAGGGAAAAAAGGTTTTAATGAATTTTAAAAAATAAGAGGTGCAGATTAAAACTGAGATTCCATTTCCCATATTACCAATTCTGTGAATATTCTAGAAGTTTGGAAATGTTCTTCTAGTACCTGTGGGGAAACAGTCACTCAGATATTGCTAATGGGAATGTAAATAAACAATCTCTATGGGAATTTGGCCTAGAAATTGTACTACTTGGAATCCTAAAGACATCCTAGGAAAAATGTGAAATATTCTTAGGACATTGTAACATAATTTGTCATATGAATAGACTGGAAATAACACAAATGCCCACCTGCAGGATGTCAGTATGGTGTCCACCCACACCATCAAGTATGCTGGTGTGAAAGAGAGCAAGGAAGATCTATGTCAACTTTTTTTTAAAAAATTTATTTATTTATGCATACAGAACTGGGGTACAGGCCAGAGGTGCAGGGGCGATGAGAGGATTCACCAGAGACAGAGTGGGGAGCAGAATAGGCAGATCGTCGAAGTACACTGCCGAAGGGAGCAGTGGGCAGGTCAGGAGAGGTCTGCCACGCCATGTGGGTCACCTCCGGGGCTGGATCAAATTCATGCGGAAGTGGCTTTAGCTTCTTAGTGCAGTGCTTTAAGCTGCTATCAACTTTTAATGAGGATCTCTAGGCTGTCTTGTCAAATAAGGTATAGAGAGAGTGTGTTTTTCCCCCAAAGAAAAGAGATGGAATATGAATACATTCATATATGTATGCTAATGTTTTCACAAAGATATAATAAAAGATGAAATATGAAAGCTAATAAACATGGCCATCTATACTAGAAAGCAAGTTAGCCTTCTCTTAATATTCCCTAGACAAAAAGTTTTTGACTTAGCTGTGTGAACATGAAAAATCAAAACCTACCTACTCGGCATGAAGGTATTGGCACTATTGTTGAACACTTAGCTCTGTGTCTTTTTCATCACCTCATAGATTTTACAATAAAAACTAAAAAGAGTGCTTATTGTCAGGACATAAAGGAATTTTGTGCAGTGGGTTACTCATGGAATTAGTGCCCAGGTAGTCACTCTGTGGCACCTTTTCTCCTCAACTCCAAAGTCCCTTCTTCCCTCTCTTTGCCTGAATGCATCATTTTCCGGTCTCTGACAATTGTCTTTTCTGCTCGTGCATCATCATGGACTTTTCCTAGATAGCAGGTTCAGTCTGTGACCCAACAGAGGCTCTCCAGAGAACTGCTTTGGTCTATACTAGCTCCAGTTTTTTGGGAGGAGAACGAGACTGACATTTGGGTAGTCTTTCACCCAAAACCAATGCAGTAAGGCCAGCAAGCTGTACTTGGTCATTGGACCTGCCCTTTCTGAGCCTGTGGACGGAGAAATTCTTAAGAAAGGGCTGCAAAATCCTCTGATATGTGGTCTATAATGGTGGAAGATTTGAAACAATCTCTAGCTCTAATAATGGAGGTTTGAGGATTTGGCACAACCCAAAAGATAATATCAGTCATTTAAAATTATGATATAACCCTATTTTAATGGACCCTGAAAAATGTTCATGAATGTTTAATAACATTTGATGCATTTGTTGCATCATATGCATACATATACACACACTATTCAAAGCTCAGAATAGGGGGAGATATGATTGGGGAATTTCATTAGACAAGCGACTTCTAAAGCACTAATCATTAACCTGGTTGGTGAGTACGGAAACAGTGGTAATATTATTAAGACTTTAGTTCTGTGTCTGCTTTTCATGCATTGTTTTGAGCATGAAATTTAGACAGAAATATAGATAGATGATAACTATTATGTATTTACGCACACATATTGCACCCTAATATGAATGGAAACTGAAAAATTAATGGAAGGAGTGAGTATGGTTATCTTTGACTAATGGGATTAAGATTTGTTGCTTTTTGTTTCTGTTTTTGCTTTTCTGTAGACATATTCTGTGATTTTTCTACACTATGAAAATGATGGATTATTTCAGTGATAAAGTTTGGAATTGTAAATGCAAAATGTTTTTTCTATATTTAATTTGCTCTACAATGAGCAGTGTAATTTCAAAAAGTTAGTTTGAAATAATACGAAGATGTAAAGTTCTGCACTTAAGTGACAAGTGAATTATTTTCCAAAAATATGTTTCAAAAGTAGAGCATAAGAGAGACTGAGCTTAGAATAGGTTTATTTTGATATGCCTAGGAGAGCTTGATTGACTTATTTAGTCCAACAGGCTGAGTTTGCAGTGAAGAAAATCTAGTACCTAGTTAGAGTATTTCTCTAACTAGGTACTAGATACCTATTAAGAGATGTCACCTTAGTGTCTCTGCATGGATTAGAACACCTCTGTTTTGGCGCCTTACTTTAAACGGAACAACACAAGAGGCCAGCATGATCAGTAGTCAGCTACAGGGTGACTGCGAGAGCTGGAGGTGGTCACCTTGGGAAGGAACTTGCAGGAATGTGATAGAAGGCGCTAAATATTTGAAAGGATGTTGTGAGAGGAGTCGTCAAAGAGCAGAATTGATTGGGAAGCAGATTTTACTCAGGTCAGCACAGGGAAGGTTTTTCTATTATTATCGCTGGGTGAAAAGGACTCTTTACAGAGTGGTGGAGACTGGGGCACATCTGACCACTGTCTAGACTCAGTCCTTTGCATGGGAGGTATAAAGAAAGCCTCAGTCCTCCTGTTTCTCCTTGACTCTTACACTGCATCCACACTGGCAACACTTCTGACATCAGATGGGTGGGTGTTTTCACCTAAACATTCTGTGGCACTATAATTTAACTCAGTTCTGGCACTCTCGGGCTAGAGATAGCATCAGATGCCATAGGTTAAAGGTACAATCTCACCAGGCTGCTCCCCACTTCAGAGGCCAATGAAGCAGGTCTCCCGGTTACACACAACTCTAATTGGCTACAAAGTGGAGGTTCCCATGATGTCCTCCCTACCCCCCTGCCCCGTATCCAGTTATTTGCTAGAACAACTCACAGAACTCACAGAAACACTTGTATTTATGAAATTGTTAAAGTATATGACAAAGGATACAGATGTGCAGTCAATGAAGAAAAATACAGGGTGAGGTCTGGGAGGCTCTGGGCAGGGCCTCCTGTCCCCGTGGAGTTGGGGTAACTCATCCTTCAGGTATCTGGCTCTGTCACCAACCTGTACGCTCCTGAGCCTAGTACTTCTGAGGTTTTCATGGAGGCTTCATTACATAGGCATGGTCAGTCAGTAACTCCTTTTGCAGCCCTTCTCCCTCTGTGGGCAGTGGGAGAGTGTGGCTGACAGTCCTAAGCTTCGAGTCATGGTTCGGTGTTTGTGGCTGTCAGCCGCATTCAGTAACCTACCAAGAGTCACTGCACATATCTGTCACACAGGAAGTGTTCAGGGATTTTGGGGTGTTAGCAGCCCTGGGCAAAATACCAAATATGAGAAGAAAAGATGCTTCCATCTTCTAAGTGCTAAGAAGATCTTACCACTTAAGCAGGTCTGTGCCAGAGCTAGAGACCAACGTTTTTTTCCAACTATCTCATAAGAGGAAAATTGGTTGGCATAAGCTTTAAAGTTTTTCTACCTGTGAGAGTGTGAATTGACGGGGGAAAAAAAAAGATATTCACATGCCAAAAATTAAACTAAATTAAACTTTGATCACAAGTATCTTGAGAGTCCTTTTTACTTTTATGTCACTACCAAATCTGAAACTTTCGGTGTTGAGGTTTACTTTATTAAGTCATGTTTTGTTTGCAGAAGTGGAGTTTGGGCTTCAGCATCTTACTGTCTTAACTAGAAGAGGTTAGACAGGGTCATCTAAATGCAGGGAACTGTGTGCTAATTTGAGTCCTGGAAAGGTCAAGAGAGTCAACCACAGAAGGGAGTTGCACCTGCAGTTAAGAGCCTGCCTACCTGCCTTTGAATTCTGTCTGTGTTCCTAAAGGTCTCTTAAGGAAATACCAGCACAGGCTTGTTGCGAGCCTGGAAGCATGGCCTTCAGGATGCATTTCCATTACTTATTCCTGAGGATGCCTAGCAGTTACTCAATGAACCACTAGTGAATGGGAGCCTTGGTAACGGAATGGAATTACAAAAATCCTTTACCTGACCCTGGCAGTGGTGACGTGAGCTTACTGACTCAGAGGCAGCGTCTGCACGCTGCCACTGGATTCGAGTCCAGTTAGTCTTGTATCTCTGCTCTGCCCTCTCCTTTCTGCCTAATTAGCCATTTGCTTTGTTAGAAATTTTATTGTTGAACTAGGATTAATTCTGTGGGGACTTGTTTTGGAAATTGACTTTTGTTAAATGACTGGGTTATGGCTGTCTGAAAATCCTTGGGTGTGATGATTTGAATAATTTATGACTAGGTCTTCCAGAGTATAAAGCTTATGCCCAGAATATATTTGGAAAGAGAATTGATTGCAGCTGACAGAATATAAAAAGATCCAATATGGTTATGATTGCTATTACTCTCAGATATTGATTTTTTTTTCTTTCCATGTTTTTGAAGAGAGTGAAGATCTGGAAAACACCAATGTCACCTCTCCAGTGGTTTCAGCCCCTGACCCAGAACCCCATTCCTCACCATACAGGTAGGAAAAAAACTACTTTGGATCAATGCTTCTAAAGAGTTTCCCTTTGAGACAAGGAGTTGGTGAAAGCAGTGGACAGTGACTTTACTGTGAACGACAAGTTGAAGTGAAGGGAATGGATGGTTTTATCATTAGTTCACCGACCCTTTGAGTATGTTCCGGAGTCATGTCAGATATATTTCAGGTTGTAAAATTCCCTTTTACTCTCGGAGTATAAAACTGTAACAAATAGTGTAGTGTCTTACCTGTTCCTGAAGACCGTGGTCAAATCCTAAGACATTTGAAATAGATCCCAGATAGTTTTCAAGAAATTGTATGGTTGAGTTTTGGCATGTCTGCAGGTGCACACACACCGATGCACTGCTGGAGGCAACACTTAACGATGGCTGACCCTCAGGTTGTCTTTTTTTTTAGATATATTTATTTATGTATACAGAACTGGGGTACAGGCCAGAGGTGCAGGCGGTGAGAGGATTCACAAGAGACAGAGTGGGGAGCAGAACAAGCAGATGTACTGAAACACGCTGCTGAGGGGAGCAGCGGGCGGGTCAGGAGAGGTCTGCCACGCCATGTGGGTCACCTCTGGGGCAGGCAGGGATCAAACTCATGCTGAAGTGGCTTTAGCCTCATAGTGGTGTGCTTTAACCCACTGCGCCACCAGGGCCCAGATTGTCATTCTTAATCTTCCTCTGTGACCATTTGCCCTACCTGGCATCGTGACAGCGAGTCGGTGGTGGGAAAGTTTGAATGGGGCTGTACTGAGCCCTGGAATGAGTGGAAACCATGAGACTTTAATGGAATAGTGATAACTGTTTGGAGAACGCTTTGCTCAGCTTATCATAGTGCAGATGAGCAGCTCATGGTGCGATGCCCCTGCGAATGTGTGTGTTCCGCACCCACACAAGCTGGTGTCTGGGCTCAGGGAGAAGTCAAGATTTAAAAACATCTGTTACTGCTCAAGTAAAAATTCTCTCTTGATATCTGAAATAAAACTTCTTTTCTCCCAGAATTCAGATGATGGGAAATAAGAGTGATTAATATACTTATAGTACTGTTGCTGAAAATAATAGCTGTACAATGAGTGTTTCTCTGTAATAATGATAGTAAAAGATTTACCTTTTTTGGAAAAATACCAGATGATTTCACTCATAGCAGGAGTATAATGGACCAGGTGAGAAAATAACAATAATAATAAACAGCCATGTACCAGAGACATTTTATGGGGGTGGAGTGGAGAATGGGATCAAAAACAGTGTTGGGGAGGGAAATGCACTGGACTGTGGTGATGGCATAGGGTTATCTGGTGATGGGAAGCCCAAGGGGATTGCAACTGAGATGGAAAAATACACAAAATGATGGAAAAATAAACTACTATTTATTTTAAAAAAAAAGAGATTTACCTTTTTAAAAGCTATTTCTGTTTGCTGAATACTATGCTAGGTGTGAAAATTTTTTTCCCAATTAACCCTCAAAAGACCCTGATGCAAGCAGTGTACTTTTTCTCTTTTAAGATACAGAAAATGAAACAGTGAATTCAGTCATTTGCGTGGGTTCATACAACTCTAGGTTTGTTTGACTCTAAAGCTTATTCTCATGGGTAGCAGTAAAAGGGATTTGCATTCTATGCTTAGAGCTATTACGTTACTATATCCAACAGCCCTTTTAGAAGACACAGTTTCCTCAAGGTTTTGATTATCGGAGAGAATTCAAGTCTTCTGAGAACTTTCCATCTTCCCGCTACCTCCCTTTTTCTGCACATGTTGATTTGAAGGATCTTTGAGGAATGGATTTTGGCATAGAACTGTTTTTCCCTCCTAAGAGTAAATAACATTTTTCAGTAAGGAACATAGAAGAGTATTTCTCTTACAAAACGGGATTTAATTTTAGAGTTTTGTTTCTAAAATCTAGTGTGTAAAGAAAAAATCCAGCCAACATGACGCCTACAGCCCAGTGTCTGGATTTTGTGTGTGATATTGGAGATGGAAGCGGCACGGTTCTGTCCTTGCTCTGTCCTTCCATGGGGCTGGCTGCCCCCAGCCTCCCTGCCTCCGGTCAGCACAGACCAGAGGCTTACAGTGGAGTTTTCCTTTACATGGTTTATCATCTGGATCAAGTGATTTGTAATTTATCTTTCCCAAAATATCTTCCACAAATTCTTCAGAGCATAAAATGCTAATGTGAATATTAAATTTGTGTGACTATGCTTGTCCTGTTTTAAAAAATTATAAGCAGAACCTTATTTGTGCAAAGTAACATGCATCACGCAAAGCAGAGACTAAGTTTTTGATGCCATATACAGTAAGATCGGGCCAATGATCAGATTAACTGTTGTATTCTCAAATTCCAAATATTGTAAGTGGTAGTCTGATCCAAAATTCCTTTTTAGTCCCAGAACAAGTTGTTGACTTACTCATCGATTCATTTAACAAATACTTGTTGGGGGTCTGCTATTTGCTAATTCAACAGACATTTGTTGAGAGCCTGCTATGCACCTTGTGCTGTTTAGGCACTAAAGATACCACATAGGAAATGTTCTTGGCCTCACAGAGCTCATAGTCTATCATGGGGAAGCAGGCAGAACACAAACATCCATCAGATTTGCTAGGCTCTGTAGCGCCATCAACTGTAAATGGTGGTGTTACTTTCTCTCCCATGAAACAGGGAGAAAATACCCATGGCAGAGTTTAGTTAGAGACACGCTGTCCTCCATGCAGCTGAGACACCAAAATCTGCACCTTCAGTGAAGAGATGAACAAGGAAAAATCCTCCCACACAAAAAAGGACAGCAAGGACGCTTGAATGTCTCAAACCCATGTAAGCAGGCAGAAAGTCTCTCCTGAGAAAATGAACCACAAGTTTGTAGTTATCAGTTTGTTGTGTAAATTCACCTTGTCAAGGTGGTCTACACAACACCCTAAAACAGAACTTATGTTCAACCTGCTTCAGTAGGGGCAAGCCCAGGTGCTGCTGGCAGAAGCAAATGCAAATCTCCCGTGGAAGGACTTCATGTCAGGGCAGCTCCATCAGTGTGAGACGCAGTGACTTTGGGGACACGGGGACACCTCATATTTCATATGTATTAAAAACTGAAAATCTCCCGTGGAAGGACTTCATGTCAGGGCAGGCCCTCTCTGGTGGCGTGGCGGGTTGGGACTGCAGCGCAGCAAGTTAGCCACAGCCACTTCAGTGCAACTTTGATCCCTGGCCCCAGAGGGGACTCACAAGGCGAGGCAGACCTCTCCTGACCCTCCCACTGCTCCCTTCAGCAGGGCACTTCTTTGATCTGCTCCTTCTGCTCCCCACTGTGTCTCTGGTGAACCCTCTCACCGTCCCAGCACCTCTGACCTGTACCTCAGTTCTGTATGCATAAATAAATACATCTTTAAAAAAATGAAATAAAAACTGAAAACAAATATGCATTTTGCAATCGGCACATATGGTAGGTGTGTTAGGCACTAATAAGGGCATCTAAGAAAGGACATCTGAGAGGCTGCTAAGGCTGAGGAGGGGAGTGCTAAGGCTACCGGAAAGAGTATTCTAAGCGGAGGCAGTGACAGGCACAAAATCCTGCAAGTGGGAAAGTGCCTGTGGAAGACTTGGGTATTCTGGGGGCCATCGTGATGGGAGAGGACAGGGCAAGGCAGGGTGAGGTCATCTTTGGAGATGAGGTCAGAGGGCAAAGGGTCTTGGCATTCATGTGACAGGCTTGGCTGTGGGTGCTGTGCAGAAGGAGGGCATGAGACCCAATTCCTGTCATCAAACTTAGCATCTAGTAGAGGAGAGAGAAAGTAGTGTCAAGAACCAAAATGGGCTATGATTTCCAGGTTTTAAGAGGATAAACTAGGCTTCTAGCCTAGACCGACTTACAGTTTACAAAGAATTACCCAAGCAACCCCACAAAAAGCAGCAGTGTCCCACAGCTTGGATTTTCTTTTCTAAAAAGATTATTTATTTTATTTTTGTATAGAAGAACTGGGATATAGGCCAAAGGTGTGGGAGTGAGAGGATCACCAGAGATAAGAGTGGGGAGCAGAGCAGGCAGATGGACTGAAATGCACTGCCGAGAGGAGCAGCGGACAGGTCAGGAAAGGTCAGCTCCCTGGCCGGGGATCAAACTCTGGCTGTGGGGTGGTAGTGCTGAGACTTAATCCCCAGGCCACCAGGGAGGCCCACTCTGATTTTTTAAAAAATAGTAACAGCCTCTTATTTAATCTGAGATAGCCTGGAGTGACTTGATTATTCCCCCAAAATGGCTCTGTTTTATCTGAAGAAGAGGTCATTTATGAACTAAGAGTGATTCTTCTTGCTTATGTTGAAAGAAAGGAAGAGAGTAGAGGCAGTTGCCGTGCAGGAGTGAAGGGAAGGAAGATAGAATGAAAAAGAGTCAAAGAGTGGTTGGAATTATTATGAAGAATTTTTGACTTAATAGACCCCATGAAAGGGTCTTTAATGACACTGGGGATCTCCAGAAGGAAGGAGGGACGGAGAGTCGGGTAGAGGGAAGGCGGGAGGGGAGAGGGACCAAGGAAGGCAGGAACTAAGAGACTACCGAATAGGCCGCCATCTCCCTGCGGTTTATCGTTTTATTTTCTAGTCACTTGCTCAGCTGTTCTGAGTAAAGCAGCATTTCTTAGACCTTCTCACCTTTAAAAATTATTGAGGGTGGGCCCTCCCTCGTGGCACAGCGGGTTAAAGCACAGCACTAAGAAGCTGCAGCCACTTCAGCATGAGTTCGATCCCTGGCCCCGGAGGTGACCCACATGATCCCCTGACCTGCCCGCTGCTCCCCTCAGCAGTGTACTTCATCAGTCGGCCTGTGCTGCCCCCCATTCTGTCTCTGGTGAATCCTTTCACCATCCCTGCAACTCTGACCTGTACCCCAGTTCTGTAGACATAAATAAATAAATCTAAAAAAAAAAATTATTGAGGGAAACGTTGTATATGTTGACTTTCTCTCTCAGTGTTTACCACATTAGGAATTAAAACTGAAAAAGCAGGCACTATTCATTCATATAAAAGTAATAATAGGGGGCCCTCCCTGGTGGCGCAGTGGGTTAAAGCACAGCACTGAGAAGCTTAAGCCACCTTCGCATGAGTTCGATCCCCGCCTGCCCCAGAGGTGACCACATGGCGTGGCAGACCTCTCCTGACCCGCCCACTGCTCCCCTCAGCAGTGTACTTCGTCGATCTGCCTGTTCTGCCCCCCACTCTGTCTCTGGTGAACCCTCTCCCCGCCCCTGCACCTCTGGCTTGTACCCCAGTTCTGTATGCTTAACTTATAAATAAATCTTTAAAAAAACAAAAAGTAGTAACAAGGAACTCATTATTTGTTCATATAAATAACAGGTACCAAATGAAAACTGACTGTTCTCCAAAGCAAAAACAGTGCGTGGAGAGACATTGTGCACCTCTTTAATGTCTGGCTTGTGAGACAGTGGGCTTGAGACCCGCACTCATTCTCTGGCGCTCACATGTCAGGCTGCCTCTAGACGACGCCCTGGTGCAGAGGTGGTGGGGCCACCTCTGGAGGTTGCTCTGAGTTTCTTCAGGGCTGCTGTGTCTTAAAGGAATCCTTGAATTGACACTTTTTCTTCCTCCGAGAGGCCACAGATGGTATCTGCAGTGGGTGAAGATGCCCCGGAAGGTCCGCGGAAGGCAGCCTGTGCCGTGGAGGCGCAGGCCTTGGCGGGACAGGAAATGGAGTCTGCAGGCCAGGCTAAGGGTCTCAGCCAGGTAGGACACGCATGTTCACTCGCTCTTGGGGAAGGAGGCCCTTGTGGCACCAGGGCTGAGGTACGCGTTGGTGGGTGGAGTTGGCAGCATCTCCTTGCTCTCCTTAGGATATGTCATCTTTCAGTATTTAGAGAATGCTCGTGTGTATTTTCTATCAGGCCAGGCCTATAGTAGCTCGCACCTGTTCAGTAAATGAAGCCATAAGAACAAATGTTCAGGTGTTCCCTAACAACGTCTCAGTGTGAGGAGTCTCGGAGCATCGGACTGTGTCTCAATCTCGTTTTTCCCGTGGTGGGTCTATTCTGTGTTTATGAGAAAGAGTCCAGAGAAGTGGTAGTGGTGGCAGCGACCTCCCTGCGATGTGGGAACAGATTGCTTATGGAATTATATCCATGTGTGAGAATTGTAAGTGTGATTAATATCAATGAAGACAATTCCAGACATTAGAATTACATTTGCATAAAGCTTTAGAGTTCACAAGGCAGTTTTTGTGACAACACTACATACTCCTGAGAATAACCCTATGAGGTATGTCTCCATTTTACAGGTGAGGAAACTGAGGTTGAGAGTTGGTGCTTACATTACTAAGGCCACACAGCTGATAAGGTGGGAGTGAAATCATTTAGCCTTCTGGAAGAGGAAGGACTCCTTCAAGCAAGTTAGCCAACGTCTGATTCACCTCATTTAACAGGGGAGAGAAGAGCTGAAGGATTTACTCTCCAGAAACAGATAGTATGAGAATACAGTCTGGGAGGATTACAAAATTTATTTACTAATTTATGTCTTGCAAACGCAAATACAATTCTCATTGCTAATTGAAATGCTGCGTCACTGATATTCTCGCCTGTATGGGTAGTAGCTGTAAATTTCTTCTTGAGTTGCCTGCCAACTGCTTGGAGAAGGAGCAGACAATTAAGGCTTAATTGCATGAAGCCAGGGGAAGAGTAATCGAAATGATTTGAAGTGAAAACCACTAGGGAGAATTTGCAGGCTCCTTCCATGGGTTACAAGGGCTTTGAGTATAAGAGACATGTGCTCTTCCCTGAGTAGAGATGTCGGGCAGCAAGCAGGCTGTTGACATGTACACACTGGGGCTGGTCTAAGATGAAACTGTAGTTGTTTGTGGAACACTGCTAGTGGATAGGACAGCTTTAGGAAGACCCCCCCCCACCCCCCCAGTGCCATGGTTGAGCGCGACAAAGAGAAACCATAAACCAGGTTCTCTCAGTTCAGTGCTTTGGCAAATTGATTGACAATGATCTGGAAGAAACCTTGAGTGGCAGTGGTAGTAGGCAGGTGTGTGGCAGAGTGAGAGTCAAACTAGACTCCAGGGGCAAGAGCTGCCGTGAGAAGAGGCCCAGGGAGGTAACCCGCAGGCCAGGGGAAGACCACAGCATGACCCCCAAAGCCCGGATGCCGAGGCAGTAGCAAGCTTTGATGATATTCACAGGCAAGGATTTCATAAAAGGTCTGGGGTGGGGGAACACTGGGGTGGCATTAAAAAAAGTCAGTAGACTGTACCAGCAGCCTGCGTCTGGAGCGCACAGTATATTAGGAAGAGTGGCAGTAACAGGGCAGGGCCGAGCAGCCTTCATGCGGAACCTGCCATCCTAAGACGTCCTCTAACCAGAATTCTGTCATGCAGATGGCCAAGTACCAAGCTCCACAACGGGCTGGTGACATCGTTATGATCCAGTCTGAGCACACGGGGACTATTGATATTCTCTCAGCTGACTTGGAATCTGCAGATCTTCTGGCAGACCACAGGAAAGGTGAGACTTTTGGGGGTGTGGAAGGTGGAGTTTTGGTTCCCCAGGGGTGCTTAAAGGAAGTCAGGCAGATAAGATTCAAAGCAAGGAAGTAACTTGTGAAAGGAAGTCCAGGGAGCCAGAAGGATGAATGTCTTTGGCCGTGACCACCTCCCTAAACAGTGCGCCAGGCGTGGCCGTCTTCCCTCTTGGCGTCTCAGTAGTAAACCGCCTGTTCTTTCAGTCTCCCCACCTCTGATGGCTCCTCCGTGCATCTGGACCTTTGCCAAGATGAAGGAATTCAAAAGCAAGCTGGGCAAAGAGAAGAACTGCCGTCTGGTGGTGAAGCGGGGTGAGGTGGTGACCATCCGGGTGCCCACCCACCCAGAGGGAAAGCGTGTCTGCTGGGAGTTTGCCACCGATGACTATGATATTGGCTTTGGTGTTTATTTTGACTGGACCCCTGTAACCAGCACTGACATAACTGTGCAGGTCAGTGATTCCAGTGAGGATGAGGATGAAGACGAGGAAGAGGAGGAAGAGATTGAAGGCAAGTTCCAGCGTTGTAAGCTAAGTTGAATGACGGGGCCCAGTGCCAGCCCCACAGAGCACGTGCTGATGGGCACGGTACTCACACCTCCCTGGATGGCTTTCCTTTCCCTCAGAACATAGCTATCTGCCCAGCCGCTCCTTGGGGACGGGGTGGCTCAGAGCGGGTTTCTTGTGTCTTACAAGTTTAGGTTCTAAGTATTAGCTGTACTCCTTGATTTTCCTTCTGTAATTTTAAAATCAATCCCTTGCTCCCTTCTTTATGGAAAAGGAAGTCAGCAGGGGAATCTTGAAGTGTTAAGGGGGGAGGAGAACCTGATACGTGCTCTGGTCTTGAAGGGGGCTCAGTGTGGGCATTTGTCCAGGTTTCCTGCTGCCCCTAGTTAGTCCTCCACCTGCTGGGTCATAGAGCAGCAGAATCTTCCCTTGTGTAATAAATGTCTTTTCTGCCCCTTAGAAATGTCTAGACACTTGGGGCGCTGGGGGCTCTATAGGAATAATCATTGTTTCTCGGTAGAGATGCTACCGGCATTAGGGGCGGAGTGCTTCTTTCTTGAGCTTCTATCCTGAGGATTAGTGCTAAATGCCAGCCAGTACCACCCGGCAGCCACTCCAGTGACCCAGAGCCTACCAGGCTGTTGCCTGCTGGAAGGCAATGAGCACCCCCTTTTCCCAGGGGAGAAGGGGCATCCTGGTCCCTCTTTTGACCTGCAGATCAGAACTATTTGGTGTCTGAACTCACATCCATGCACCATTTTGCTCCTGCAGACCCTGTCCCAGTTGGTGATGTGGAGAGAGGCTCCCGGAGCTCGCTGCGGGGCCGCTATGGAGAGGTCATGCCTGTGTACCGGCGGGACAGCCACCGAGACGTGCAGGCTGGCAGCCACGACTACCCTGGGGAGGGCATCTACCTGCTTAAGTTTGACAACTCCTACTCCCTGCTGCGCAACAAGACACTGTACTTCCACGTCTACTACACGAGCTGAAGGCCCACCGGGACGGAGGCAGGCAGGGCTTTGCTGGGTGGGGCAGGCTGCCCGCTGGCGCCTCTCGCTGCCGACTGGCCGGAGCTGAAGGTCGGGTGCGCGGCTCCTGGCCCATGTATCCTGCCTGACTGTTGACCCCACATCGCTTTCCCCCTTCTTGGCTTCTGCAGATGGTGGTGTAGTACCCCTATTTTGTGGCCCCCGACTCACGCTCTTCTTGCTTCGGACTCCAGCCAAATCTCTCTATGAAGGAACCTACCTGGCAAGAGCCTCAAAGGAAATCGGGTGTCATCTTTAAAAAATACGCTTGCTCTGGTGCAAGGTGTATCATCCTGGTTCTGCTGCTCTCTCTTCTCCCAGGGCCTTTCTTGCATTTACTGGCACCCACCCTCTTTGCTTTCTCAAAGTGCCAGAAGAGGGAACAGCACATGGTCTTTGAAAGAACCCAGTGTCTCGGGCGGAGAAAGCTCCGCCCAGCCTCACACCACTGCCATATTCCCGCCTGCTGGTTCTCTGCAGCCTCTCGCCCAGGCTGAGAGCCCTCACTGCCTTTGGAGAGGGGGTATTAGTCTTGATGGCTCGACTCTGCCTCCTCCTCCCTCTTTTCCCTTCTTGAGTCTGCCTGCCATCACAGCAAGAACTCCATGCAGTTGAGAGTGATGGCCAGTGTATTCTAAGATCTGGGAAGAAAAACTGACTCCATCACTTCCTGTGTCACCCAGGCCACTGGTGGTCAAAGGGGATGGGATGGAAATAGGTCCTGGATTATCTCAGAACCCACATCTTTGAAAATCAAGTGTTACTAAGTTATTGTTTGTGTAATCAAAGAAGCAGGCATGTCATGTGAGAGAGCAGGTCAGACAACAGCAGTGTTCCAGATTTCCTACCCCTCCTTTGTCTTCACAGTGGGTGTGTTACTTGGAAGTTTTGCTTTGGAACACTTTGTTTTCCAAAGCTGCTGGGTTTCGGTTTCCTGTACTGCGGGTTTCAAGCGTTGGTCTACACGGTCTCAGGAAAGGGGATAATGACACTCCACTGTTGCTGCTGATGGAATTTGTTCTTTCCTAGGCCAAAGCTTTCATTTCTCTGGCTGTGTCTTTACACCCTAGCACCCCGACAGCCAGAGTGCACAGGGTGCTGCAACCAGGCCACCAGAGATGCGGGGTGTGGGGCCTCACGTGGCGAAGAAGGCAGAGAAGGGGCCACTGTGGTCGGTGGTCTGATCTTGCTCCTTTTTCCTTGTTCAAGTTTGTTACTGCCTTAGAATCATGCGGAATAATTAGATTTATTTATTACTTTATTTATTATTATTATTTTTATCACATTTCATTTTGCCTTTGAAACAGTTTCCGTCTGTTTCTCAGAAGGCTCCGGTCTGCACTGAGCCATTGAGGCCGCCTCTGGATGAGCTAGATGAGGGTTTCAGGAGCAGTGGGACATGGCCGTGTCCCATTCCAGCAGGTTCACCCTGCGGTGCTTTGGAGGAGTCTTCCCTCCTGGATGGATGACTGTGAGAAATTCGCGGTCTGGGGAGGGCCTGTCCTCATGCTCAGGTGCGCAGCAGATTTGATTAGCACCAGGTATCCTGGACTCCAGGATTTCCAAGTCCTGGGCCTCCTCTGGGCAGCCACCTCCTTCCCACTGTCTTTGCTCGTCCTTGTGTGGCTCCCTGGCACTGAGCCTCCTCCCTACGGAGCAGGGGCTCGAGCAGGCTCCTTGCGGGGCTCGGCAGCTACGCCTGCATCACGAGCGGAGGGTGAAAAGGCAGTGCCTCCCACTCGGGGCAGAGCCCAGCAGGATGGGGTGTTGGTACCATCGCACCCCGTTCTCTGAGCAGCATCACCTCCATTATGTCACCCGTGAGAAGGTGTGTCAGAGGAGTGCACTGGCCAAAACTTATACACCTTGTAAGAAATGAGAAACTGTTCTAGAGGCTGCCCGGGCAGTGAAGGCCGAGCTGCCGTGCGGCATGCCACCAGAGAGCTGAGGGACCCCCGTCGTCACTGATGCCCGATCATGCCTTAGCTAAGTGAATATGATCTTTATAATAAAGCAATTTTCTACTGGGCTGTTCTCCACTTAGCAAAAACCTTGCTAATTTTTCTTGTTTATTGTTAACTTCTGACTTTATTAAAGTGGAGCTGTGAGACCATAGGACGCTCCCTGGGTCAACACTGTGTGTTTGTTTATGCCATGAGAGTCTCTGGACCCATTTTCTTAGGCATCCTAGTTCTGTTACATCAGGGAAACCCCATCGCCTCTGTGTGCCTCTTCCTGTCTGATCACTTTTGAGGTCCTGGACACCGTCACGGCTCATCCTGTGCTGGGGTTGGTTTCACGAACAGTCAGGGTTTCCTTGTTCCCATTAGCACAAAATAGCTAAAAGATGTTTTCAGTGTCTGATTCTGAATATCTGAAATTGCTGAAGTTTAGAGATAAAATACTGTTTACTAGAGCACAGGTGTCCGGAGGGTTTCAGAGCCTAGCAAGCCCTAAGAGGTTGGCCTTCTCTTAGTCTCTCCCTGTCCAAGCTTAGAGACCCAAAACAGTGAAATGGAAACCATGCCTGTTCACTCTCACCCTGCTTTCGAGAGCACAAATAAATTAGACGTTCAGAAGAAAGAGCTTCCTAAGAAGGGAGACTGGAATTCTCTATGCAGAGTGGCTGAGTGCTAACCTTTCTTCTGTTTGTTTAGTGTTGCTACTCTGTTGGGAGAGGGGCTTTTAAAATATTTGGGAGGAGATGTCCAAAGTGCTAATGGTTTTCAGTATTTTATTTTGCAAAATTTTCAGTAAACAGGAAACAAAGGAATTGCGTAGTAAATACCCAAGTATGGACCCACTACATAGATTTTTCTTGTAACTAGAAGTTACAAAACTGACAATTTTTAAAAAAAGATTCTACTATTTGTTCCTATTAGAAGTATCTCAGAGCAGGTCTCATGGCGCAGACCTTGTGCCCCATGGCTTGATGCTTCTGGAGTTTTTTTAGCAGGGTGTTCAGTGACGTGAGTTACCTGGGAGTGATCCTTGTGAACTGTTTCTTGTTCTCCGTCGTGTTTCAGAACTCAGGCCTCCTTCAGACCACATCTTCTGTTCTTCTGTCATCAAAGTGAGGGTGATTGGGAAATTGCTCCTGGAGGCCTCTGTTCTGGCCTCTGCTGCTTATGATACGTCGGCAGGACTCAAGCTAGAACTGAAGTCTCCAGACAGAGTGTAGCTTTATAATGGAAGTAGATGGCAACTTGAAATCAGGCCATTATTAGTTACTTTTTCTTAATTGATTCATGCACTTTAAAAATATTTGTATCTGTTATTTAGGAAAGAAAATTTAAGACCGTAAAACAGTATATTGTCCCTTATAAGATGTATATGGAAAAGTTAAACCTGAACGTTCACTGTGTTATATTAATCAGTGGGGTTAGTTTTTATTGTAAAACATCATTTATAGACAATATCTGAGTATTAAGTGTTTGACGAGTCCTGTCTAGCCCCTCTTTGAAAGAATTAAGTGACTCCCAAACCCTAAAGTCTATTTTTATATTTATCTTTTAAGACTACTTTTTCTGCAAAAGACTGCCTTGTGGTCCCAAAGCTTGTGACTCCAAGGTATGAAGTTAGGTTTACCCTAATATTTACTTGTCTTAGTGGCAGGTGAGGGAGGGGCGTGAAACAGTTTTGTAGAGCTTGAGAAACTGCCTTTTAAAATTGATTGCAAGGGATAAAATGGGAATAAAATGAGAGGAAGAGAAAGCTAGCATGTGTGTGCCAGAACTTCGCTGTCTCCACATTACATTCATTTTTGCTGTTTGCATTCCACAAGTTGGAGTTGTTCTTGTATTGGTTGGAGAAATCCCCAAACACTTCTGCAGACTTACCTAACAGCATTGGCTTTAGAGTAGGTCTCCTCTGCTGCGTGTGACCCTGACCTGAGGGCTGACTTCACCCCCAAAGCCCCTGGTACTTACAGTCCTAGGCCTAAGATGATGCGATTAGAAGCCAGGAACAACTCCATTGGCGCCACTGTAACCCCTGTTGGTTTTGACTGTGGTTGAGAAAGGGATGAGATGGGTACTTCCCGCCTGTGTCAGAAGAGCCTGAACCCTTGAGTAATTGTGTATAACAAGCTGTGCCCCTGCAGGCTGACCCTCACCCTTGGGTGCAGGAATCGTCATCTTCTTTATGTGGGATGTCATCACACAGCAGCCCAGGGAACACACCAGTTTGTTCTTGAGAGCATCTGCTCTAGAATTTCTGTTGGGTCTTAGAGGTCACATCAATCTCTGGAACTAGCATCTTCCCATGTTGCCAAAAGTGCAGAGCTCTAGAAACCCGGATCTACTGAAGAAAGGAAGAACACCAACCCTCTAGAATTTTAGTGCTTGGAAAGACTTGGAAATGAGTTCTGCTTGAAGGAAGGTAGTTTTACTGCTTGTGGTGGTTCTGAAGGACAGCTTGTTATGGGAATTTGCTCTTTAGATCAAGTTGTTGTACTCATGTTATTATTTGATTGTGTCTAGGGAGCCCTGAAGCCTGATTCTTTGGGGACCGAATAGAAAAGGGGGTTCTAAAGCCAGTTGCAAGCCCAGTGCTTTCCCACGGCCCAGTGTAAGGGAGCGTCCATTTGACCAAAGCCCTGGTCTTCATGACAGGAGATGCTGGCCCGAGGCCGGCCCTCCCACACAGCATGGGACAAGGCGAGCTTGTAGGCCGTTCTGCTTCTGTCTTGTTTATGGTATTGTGCTACCCAAGGCCGTTGTTTACACAGTAAATTAGAATTAAATGATAGAGTTGATAGAAAAGGCAGTCAGCCCTGGTTGGAAGTAAGGCTGGGGAGGGGTTGTGATTTAGAGTCACATGTTGGCACAGCTGGGTAACTCATGTAAGACTGTGCGGTCAGAACTCAGCTTAACCTTGGTGAGTTCAACCCAAGCGAGTGAAGAGGTTGTAGGGATGACAATTACTTCATGTGGGTGATAAGTAGAACATCTCTGGGAAGCAGATTCTGTCACTGGTTGTGTGAGTTTCAGTGTGAGGCTGTGGTTCCTTTGGCATTCTCAGAGTCTCACCTCACTGGGTAGTGGGTGGTGACTTTGACCTTCCACGAAGAAAACTCCCCTGGGATTTGGCTTCTGCTGGCCTCTTTTCTGGGAGCAGGGCAGGGAGCACTCAGGAAAGAACTGCTTTGGTTCACTTGTTCACACACCCCTTTCTCTGTCTAACCTTTGGGGATTCCTTTGACTTCACCAGCTACTTAGATCACTAGGTTAGGGCAGGGCTGTTCCCAAAGGGGGAGAGAAACTTAATATGGTCAGATTTCAGAAAGTCATGCTCTCTGACGCCTTGCATTGCCTCTGTCTGCACCAAGGAGGCAGCACAAAGCCCCTTCTGTTTGGTCTCTTATCACTAGCTAAGAACCCAATGGATTGCCTAAAGCCTTGAGAGCAAAGTTCATTTAAAAACAGTCGTTTCCTCAAAAACTAAGTTCAAAGGCAAGATGCCACTTTGAAATTATTTGTAGTCCTGGTCACTGGTTTGAACTCATGGTCTGATTCCTATTACATGTGCTTTAATTTCTTTCAGGTCCCCGGCATGTGGACCACAGTTAATCTCAAGACTCTTTTTTATCCTTTACAGATAAATAAAGAATGGCCCAGAATCCTAGACACATGGGTCTCTGTATTAAATCCACAGTTCACTGTCACTTTAAGCAGGTAGTTTGGTTTCTCTAGGGGTGAAATATATATGTGAAATGATTGCCAGAGGGACAAAGTGTATTTTCTGTGAAGTTCTGATAGAGGATCATGAACAATGTGAAAGATTTGGTGTGCAGTGGCAGAAGGGGCCCTTCCTGAACAGTCTTCCCTGCTCAGGTCTGGAATGCCTATAACGTCTGCCGTGTTACCTGTGATTGCTTGTTACCATTGACTTTCAGGCTCAGGCCAAGAATCATCTGGAAAAGTGTATCTTACTTTCTTCCCTTATGTCCTAAGCAATACATCTTACTAAGAAACTCCATATTAAAATCTGAGAGTATTGTCCATAAACAAATATGTTTTCATTTAATCATGCTCATTTATTTCTGTTTAGCCATGTTTAAGAGCAAGTCAAGCCTGGAGGAAACAGTCTTACAACCCATGACTCTGGTACACCTGTTTGCCCTTTAATAGTGGGGAGTTTTTTGATTCCCAGGAGGAAGCTGCTTTATAATCAAAATGATGGATTATAAGAAAGCTAGACGTTGGGCAAGAATCACTGTCATGGAGGTGCTTGAGCTCTCCCCGACTGTACCACGCCATGGGGCTCCATCTGGAAGGCCTGCTTTGGTGCTGTGCACTAGGTCTGTCAGGAACTGAAAGATGATCGTGCTTTCTTGCTAAGTACTTAAGCACCTGGCAACCAGGAAGGCCTTCTTTTCTTATGCTGTACCCTACTCTGATGCTGACAAGACAAAAAGGGGTCTAGAAAGGAAACTGTCACAGTTTTCCTTTAAACTGTAATTGTATCTTAACAATCACTTGTCTCAGTCACCTTGTTTGACATGTCCCCTGTCATGGGAACGCTGCTAACCTCCTGTGGTTTCTAAGAGCTCTGTACCAAATTGTTACTTACTCCTTATGTCCTGCTGAGTGGTTTTTCTTTTAAAATACCATAAGTCATCACCCGTGACACTGAACTTGTTGCTGTGGTACACAAATGATCCTGAGCTATGGTTCTTCAAGTCTTCAAGTAGCTCAGTCCCTGTGTTTTTATATCATGTATATCAATTTTGTGATGCTTTGGTGCATTCTTTGTCTTCTCTTCGAGTTTTGAAATCTGTCATAAATAAACTTTTTCACTATGCACCTGAAACACTGGAGTTGTATCTTAATGAAACTGATTATTTTTTTAATCTTTGGTCTTTTCTCTGCATCTTTTTTTTTTCCTTTTAAATCCAAAAGGCAAATTTAGTGTAAAGGGACAGAGGGTAAAGGACACTTGCACAGACACGAGCGGCAGAAAGAGCTGCCCCGAGAGGGACAGGTTTGTTAAAAGGGAGGCTGCATAGGCTGCCGCCTCTGCATCTTCAGAGGAGAGCTGTTCCACAAATCTGCATTATTTTACAGTCTCTTAAGGTTATCAAATTTAACAATCCAAAACAAGATGAAATTCATCTATCATCTAAACTCATGGTGAAGGATCATCACAGGGGGCTGGGTCCAATGGCAGAAAAATTGGGTTTGGAATGATGACTACTGAAGAGATCATTATTGAGCTTTGTGTCAGTATTTGGTCCCCAGCGATGTCCGTTTTCCAACTGATGTCTGCTGTCACCGCCTCTGCACACCCCTGGCAGCCATGACAAATGAGGACTCACTCTGAGCAGGGAGAGGTGCAATGGTACCTTGTTTAGCGCTGCCTGTGATTCTGAGATGAACCTGTTTAACTTTTCTCTGTTTTCTATTGCAGCATATTTAGAGACTGTCATATAAAGGAGGAAAAGACCTGAAATACTGTGAGTTAAATAATCTTTCCACCAAACGAGACCATCAGTGACCATAAAAAGGCCCAGGGCTCCATGTAGCAAGGGGTCTTAAATGACTTCAGGGCCTCCCTGGTGGCCCAGGGGGTAAGTCTCAGCCCAAGTTCCACCCCTGGCCAGGGAGGTGACCTACATGACACAGCAGACCTCTCCTGTCTCGCCCACTACCCCCCTCAGCAGTGATTTCAGTCTATCTGCCTGTTTTGCTCCCCACTCTGTCTCTTGTGAATCCTGTCACTCCCCTGTACCTCTGGCCCGTACCCCAGTTCTACACAGACACACACACACAATTAAATAACTCTAGTGACAACTGCCTGTTCTGTCACTACTAACATACAACATATCAAAAATAACATTGTAATGTTTAAAGCTACTCACATCAGTCATATTGTTGACCTTAACATAGTTTAGGATTATAGAAGGTGACCCACAAACCATGGCTCTTGGCAATCAGCTTGATGTTCTTGCACCCGTGGAGAGTTGGGCTACTGCAGCAGCCACCTTAATGCAGGGTTTGCTCCCTGGTGGTGGAGGTGCCTGCCTGTGCCCTGGGGATCGAGAGCTCAGTGACTTAATAATGTTTAAGAGCTAGGAAGATAGGTCAGAGAAGCTGAGAGTATTGGAAAACCATCAGCCTGTGAAGGTCTTTAAAATCTCAACATAAGTACACAAAAAATGAATTTATAACTTTAAAAAGGAGTCAATGAAATGAATATGTGCATCCAATGTTTATCCAGTAAGTGGATATATAAACCTGTTTTGAAACATGTTCTATTTATTTTTGCTCTGTTATTTATGTCCTGGGGGGCACCTCCTTCCTGCTTTCATGCTTCTAGAGTATTTGGTGGGACTTGGGACTTCCATGGAGTTAGACTACTCCTTATCTAATTCCTAGTATCAGCCCCTCCAACCTTCTCCATTTGAGTGGCCATGTCCACAGCGGGAAGCCCACAGGTCAGGTCTCTGTGGCCCCTCAGGACAAGGTGGCTGCTGTTCTTCACAGACCTGACAACTGACGTGGGGAGGAAGAGGACTTGACTTTACCGTCCACTCAGCCTTTGGAGAATGAAAATATCCCTTAAGTAGGTGATGGTTTTAGACTAAGAGTCCCCTGAAGATAATTTATTTGCAGACTTGAGGGGGTGGCAGAGGAGATAATTTCAGAACCTTTTTTAGAAACTTAATTATTCCTAAGCCTTAGAGCTATCTAGTCTGACCTCTAGAGAAATGTCTAGGTATCTGGGGGAATATTTGCTCCTTCATGAACTTTTAGGGCCCTCCCAAAGAAGTGAGAGACATTTTGGAGAGTCACGGTTGTAGAGGAGGCAGGCTTTCAGTTTAACAAGCACTTGGGGGCTAGTCAGCTTGTTCAGGCTTGGGGTACCAGAGGTGGGTCCGGAGTGCAGCCCCAGAGGGTCTCCAGGGAACTCTGCTGTCAGGCAGGCAAGGTGGTTTAGAAGTATATTCTCTCCCTTCCTAGAGCACAGCTAAGTGCCTCTGAGAGAAGAGGGTTCTCTTCTCACCCATGTAACCAGCCTAAGTCCCCAGAGGAGAGTTCCTTATGAAAAGGTGCTAAAGCCAGCAAAATCTCAGGTCTCCACATCCTCCCATAGCAGGGCGGCTAACCATATTCATAACCTGGGCTCCATGGAGGCCCCAGGGCTGGGGACACATTAGGACTCAACCTGCAGGCAGGTACCAGACCAGGCAGCCTGCCCCCTCCTGAGCTGTGGTCTTCCAGTGGGGCCAGAGCCTCTTCTACCTCCCATGGCCCCTCCCACAGTCCTCCCTCCCCCCAACACACACTCTTCCTCCATTGCTCAGTTGAGTCTGGAACTGCCTTCTCTGCAGCCCTCCCAATTCCATCTCCCCAGCCTGTAGTGCTCACAGGAGACGCCAGAGAAATGACAGCTGACCCTAGGGACGAGGCTCTCTCCAAGGTTCTGATCAAAGAAGGTGGCAAGGTCAGTTTCTAGCCCAGGCACAGTGCTTACGTTCTAGCTTTAAAATCACAGTCATGAGATAAGGAGCTGGGCTGTGCCCCCCTAAAGCCAGTGCAGCTGTGAACCGAAGGGTTCAGTCACGTCCTGTGGGTGATGCTGGTGACTATGTGGGGGTGTGGGCAGGAACCCCGGGACTTCCTAGGTGGGCACCTCAAAGGAGCTTGGAATGAGTGTCCTTGGCTTAGACATATTACTGTTCTGGGTCTGTTGTCTAGGTCTGGGGGGTATGAGGTTTGGGAAAACCAGATGAGAAAGGAGGACCTCAGACTTGTCAATGAACTCCAAGATCACTGGTGTTTCCTGCTGAGCCCAGGAGAAAGCCACAGCATTTGTTCTCCCCCACTCCCCACCACCAATTCTGCTTGTCAGGTTACATTTGACACTTCTTACAAAAGGCCTGTTGACCTAGAAGACTGAAACAATGGGGAAGAAGCATGTGTGTAGTTTTGTGTGTTAGAGGGTGGATGATTTGGTGCCATGAGCCTGAGGATGGCTCATGGGGTCCCAGCTGAAAATTTCGATAATTGTCTAAGTGGAGACTTAACAGGTGAAATATGTAAATTCTTACTAGTCCTTTTGGGTGACAGACAAGCAGATAGACAACACCCCCACTGTGTGAATGGTGGAGTTACAGCCAGAAGGTCATTTCCAGGAGCAAGTGGCGTGAGGGGGCACCCGGGGGAACCAGGTGCTCGGGGGACTCCTGGCTGAGGGAGGTGGCTTCATCTGAAGCTGCACACATACCTTCACCCCCTACTTAAGCTCCAGCCCTGCACGGGAAATGAAAGCTCACGTATGGGACATGAGGTCATCTTGTTTTACAACCAGAAGGGACCCCAGTCTCCCTACAGTATTTCTGCCAAGTAGTGGTCCTGCTTCTGGCTGGACACTGCCAGGCATGGGGACCCAACATGAAGCACCCACCCCAGCCGGCTGACCTCCTGGGCTGGCCCCAGCTGCCCACAGTGCCCGGGGGGAGCCTGCCTCCCGTCTCTTGGGCCATTCACAACTGGATTATTGTAAAGCCTGATCCTGAGACTGGTACAAAGGACCTGACCCCTGAAGATAAGGGGCCTCTCAGCCACATTCACCCCAGGCTCTGGGAACTGAGTTGGTCACAGAACTTGCTTTCTTGCTTCTCCTCTCTTCTGGATCGTGTCTGATTCTGTCAGACAGGTTTTGGGCTTCCTTCTCTTCCTTGTCCCTGGCTGCACAGGGCCTGGCCCACCGCAGAGTGGCCAGATGGCTGGCTGACTTTTTCTTCTAGCAAACACAGGGCAATCCCAGCTAGGAATCATGTTCATCTTCTGAACCCAATTCAGCCTTAAATGAAGAAATGGAGACCAGGGCTTCAGTTTAATGACCAGATTTAGGGGTGGGCATTTTGGAGGCAGGCATAGTGGGGGTTAAGCTTCCTAATAGCTTTCTGGCAAACCTCATGTCATCTTCATGACTGCCTAGTGATGCAGATAACAGGTATGTTTGTGCTGAACCCCCCCCCCTCAGCATCTTCCCACCCCGTTTTTGTCTACACTGGAAAATGGGGGGAGGGAGGGTTGAGGCAGGAAGAGTTTCAGTGGGAAGGCAGAACCAGAACCAGTGGGAAGGCAGAACCAGAGCCAGTGCAGGTCTCCTTCCTCTCCAGCCAGGCTCACTTGTTTCCAGGACTGTGTAGCACACCCAGCTTCTGCTCTGGCATACCCTGGCCTGCCCCCACACCCCTGAGCTTGGGCTTGAGCACTAGGCTCTCAGTTCAGGGGGGGTGTCCGGCTGCCGGCACGGGTGAGATACTTGGAAGGCCTCCAAAGCCAGCAGTGACTTGTTGATGCGACTGATGGTAGGGTAGGGGGTGACATCCACTTTGAACCTGTGGCAGAGAAATACCCACCTAAGCCAAGGTTTGTAGGGGCACAGGGACACAGCCCTGTGGACAGTGAGGGAAACAGGTGGGGCTGGAGGTGGCCCCTGGGCTGGCCAGGGAAGGACTGGGAACATGGCCTTAGCAAGGGGTGCCTTTCACGGGAGCTCTCTGGGGATGAGTAGACTTGTGCAGAATCATCTGGCACCTCTGTTGCCTGTTTCTCTTCAAGCCATGACTGTTATTATTGAGAGCCTCCTATGTGGAAGGCAGCTTGCTGGGCATTTATAGAGATAGACTACTATGTCATAAAGTTTCTCGGGGGCAGGGAACATGCCAGACACTTCCACATCCCTGCCAGTGCTAGTGTGGCCCCTTCCACAGAGGTACTCAGCGTGCCTCACCGAGGGCTGACAGAGGAAGGTGGCGGGAGGTCACAGCTGGACAAAGGTAAGCCGTGTCAGGTGGTTTCTCCTAGGGATGTCTACCACACGAAGTGCCCCCGCTTAGGAACAGGGGCTCTGCAGGACCACTGGGGCTGCCGAGGCCTCGCACAGTGGCTGGTGTGGTTGATTGGGGGCTTCTGAATGAGATGCTACCTCAGTTGCTGAAGTGGGGGAGAGGAAGTCTGACTTGAGAGGCTGGGCACTGAGAGGGAGGAACCACAGGCAGAGGGAGAGTGGGGGGAGCTCTTACCTTTCAGCGTTTGCCACCTGAGGCACTAAGCATAGGTCAGCCATGGTCACCTGAAAGGGGGTGGGTGGGTTCGTGTCAGGGTGTGCACCCCAGACACAAGACCACCCACCCACCCCCTGGGCTGGGTGTGTCCACTGCTGATGGCACTGGGGCCTGACTCCTGCTGCTCCCATCCAGCTCCATGCCCCATGGCCCCGCCAGCGCCTTCCCCACTAACCCCCCCCACCCCTGTGTGGGGCCCCAGGACTAGTGAGCTTCTCCCTGGCCTTGCATCAGTTGTCCTGACAACCAGCCCTGCTGGTGCCCAGAGAAGGTTTGATTGCCTTGTGGATGATACTGTGCCTGTGAAAAACCACTACAGGCACTTAGTGAATGCTCCCTGAGGTGGGGGCTCTGGAGTCAGAATTACCAGAGGGCTAGGCCTTAGCTTGTGGGAGCCAAGACATGTGAATCCTAGAATCCTAGAACTGGCACCAAAGTAGGCCCCTCTCATCCCTCATCTGAGCTGAGGCCTTCAGCTTGAATACTTCAGGAATGAGGAGCTCACTGAGGCAGCTAAGAGTGAGCAGAGGAGCTCCTCATGAATAAACTGCTCAGCCCAGGGAAGATGACCTCGGGTCATGTCCGCCCTGCTTTGCGTCCAGGTGATCCTCAGGAAGCTGCCTTGGGGGGAGGCAGGTCCCTGAGTCCAAGTTGGGGAGGCTGTGTGGGAGATCCCTCAGCAGCGGGGGGCCTGGGAGGGCTTACTCACCTCATCTCCCACACAGTACTTGCCCGCTGTGCTCTGCAGGATCTTCTCTAGAGCTATGGGGAGGCCACATGAATAACCTTAGTCTGGGCACAGGAAGGGGAGGTCAGTCTCTCTGGGCAGTGCCCCCACTGGGGGTGGGGGGTGTTAGCTAAATGACAGGCTAGTGCATATGTGCTGGAGGGAGTGTAGCAGCAGATCTGGAGAGAGTTGAGGGGGGCATGGGGGCAAGATCATGTTTCCCTGAGCTCCTCCAGCCCCATTGCCATTTCTTCCCCTCGTGTAGACTGGCCTTCTCCTCACCAAGGCAGCTGTGCTCTCGCTGATAAGCTGGCACTTTGCTGCCCTTGGTTTCCTGGCTGGAGTGGGCAGTGAGGCAGAGGCTGGGCCAAGCAGCGAAAGGGCTTTGAGGCCCAGGAACTGAGGTGTCTGCCAGTGCCAGGGGTCCAGGCCAGGTCTGTCAGGGGCTTCTTAGAGCATGGGAGGACTTGTTGGCCATGGGGAGCCTCCTCTGAAAGGCCACGTCAGGGTTGCTCACAGACTCACCATTAAATCCAGAACTGATGACTTTTTGGGCCCAGGCCAGCTGGTTCTCCGCTCCCACTTGCTTCAGGACAGACAGGTTCTGTGCAGCCCAAAGAGAATCTGTGATTGGACTTGGGGCTGGGCTGGGCCAGGCCCTCAGGGAAACTCCATGCCCAAGTGCCCTTGGCTGTCCATGCCCCAGGGTGCCCGGCTCTGAGTGCCTTCCTCCCATCAGAGCTCTGGGCTGAGGCGAGGGCAGTCCCAGTGGCCACCATCTGGCCAGGTGGGCCCTGTGCCCTGGCAGAGCTATATGAGGGAGGGAGTGTGGCTAAAAGCTGAGGCCTCTCCCTACAGTGCAAAGCTTCCCCTTCCGTGGCCCCCTGTGGAAGAGGGAGCGTGGTCCAGGGTGGGGCTGGTCCGGATCCACTTTGCATCTCAGCTTCAGTTTCCCTGTCTGTGAAGAGGGGCTCTCTGCCTCCTCCAACCTCCTCTGAATACACAAAGTGACATGGGAGCAGGGCACCGGTGCACAGCCAGGGTCCTGGCACTGGCACGACTTGCTTTGGGGGCTACTTCCTCCAAAGTCATTAGCGAGCAACGATGAACTGTTCACTGCTTTTGTCTATTTGCTCTACCACTGAAACTTTGTAAAATAATACAACCCTTGGAGAACCCCAGCCTGGACCACAGCAGACAGTGGCCTGGCTCACCTGGCTAGCTGCTCAGCCTCGGCTGCCACCCAGCTCTCCCGACCCCCACACCTCTGCATGTGTCCTCAGGAGCCCAGGGCTTCTGGAATGATGTTTGACGCTTCTCAAATGCGGTGAACAGTTTCTGGGACCCCTCCCGCCTGTGCCGGGGTGTAGGCCGGAGCCTCTGAGGACCCCTCCTGGTCCTCCTGCAGCCCCGCCCAAGCTGGCCCCTCACTGTGGCTTTCCAGGTGGTGTGTGTGTGAGGGGGGTGGGAGTGGGTGGGGCGCCTCACACCGGTGCCACACCTGCAGGGGCTGGATGCCGCTGGAGATGAGGTCGGAGATCATGCGCACTTGGGCCCTCTTCTTGGGGTCCTGAGGCAGGAGTCTGGGCGTGGGCCGGGTCTCCTCCAGGTACTCGATGATGGCCAGCTGTCCAGAGGGAGCAGTGAGGGGAGGGTGGGGACCCAGGGTCAGCAGACTCTTCCTCCTCCTTCCCCCCTCCCCTCCCTGCTCCCTTGTTCCAGGCCACTGAAGCCAATGCTCTCAAAGCCAATGGGAGAAACTTTTCGGGCCCTTCTCTGTCAACTCCTGTTTCCTAGATGCCTGAGTTTCTCAAAGCAGCCCACCTTGCGCCCTCTGACGAATGTTTATCTGCCCCACTAAACTCTAGGCGTCTTGACACACACAGGCCAGGAAGATCTGCGAGGGCCAGGACTTGGTTCAGGACTGCACTCACCGACTGGCCAATGGTGAGTCCATCAATCTTCAGGGCTGGCACCTGCTTCATGGGGTTCAGCGCCTGGAATTCTGCGGAGAACTATGGAGAAAAGGACCAGGTGGGGTAGGTAACTTTGCCCAGCCCACAGGAAGAGCCCAGGCCTGCTCCCACCAGCCTCCTGCCTGGGGAAGGGCCTGGCTCCAGGCCCATGTGGGCATCTGTGCAGTATCCCAGTCCCCCAGTGGCTGATAAGCTACTGGGCTTCTGACATGCTACTCTCTATACCTCAGAGGGTGCATTCAGTATGGGGTAATGACCCCCTCGCCACCACCCACCAGGGGCTAGGCACCAAGAGGCCCAGCTGCAGTGCGGTGCCTCTCGCTGCACAGCTTGCCACCCCATCCCACAGGGAGAGCCGAAAACCATGGGACCCTAGAGTGCAGGGTGACCTTTGGGCGCAGGAGTCTGTACGCCCTGCCGGGCCCCACTCTACGGCTGCCAACTCCCACACCATAGCCTGGGGGTGGCCTTCTTACCTGCTGCCCCCCATCCTTTATGAGGTTGATGGGTACTGTCTCATAGTTGATGCTTTTCAGGGCCAGAGCTAGGAGAGACAGCAGTAGTTCCCAGGGTGACGGGGGGCCCTGCCTAGCCCCTCTCTCCTCTCTAAGGCCACGGTGCTCTGCTTGTCCTGTCCATGAACTGCCCGTGGTTCTGCCCCTACCCCGCACCCCCTGTAGTGCTATGAAGCTGCACTCCTCACCCCCTGTGGGCTCCTGGAACTAGCAGGCAAGAGCCCTGCGCTCCCCTGTCCCCGCGGGGCTCATTTGTTGGCAGTAACCTGATGGGGGCATCGTAAGGGTGAAGGCAAGGTGCTCAGGGCAAGGCCAGCAGACTATGTTCCCTAATGCTGGGGCCTTTTGCTAGATTTTGCACAGGGCATCGGGCTCTTGTGGGTGCTACTTGTAAGGTCCCTGGCACAGTGACAGGGAAAATGCTGTGTCAACCCTAGTATAGGGGACCGTGTGTGTGTGTGGGGGCACACACGTGCATTAAACTACGATAATGGCAGAAACACAAGGAGTGAATGGGCCAGGAGCCTGGCACCGTCTGAAGATAGCCGGGAGACGGGGCACCTCCTCAGTGCCAGCCTCCTCACCCACTCTGGAGAGTGAAAGTGGTTGAGTGTGGTGGGAAAGGCCTGCACACACACGGAGCTGGCACTTGTGGAGCTTTGCCTCTGGCCCAGCTGGAGGCTCTGGCCCCAGGAGGGCATCTTCTCAGAGAAACGTGCCCTTGGCACCCCAGCGCTCTGGCCTTCTGCTTCCAGCAAAGACCACGTGTCTGTGGGATGGGGGAGGTCACGGAGGATGGTTTTCCAGTGAGGGCCAGGCTCCAGGGGCCAGGCTGCTGGCGGCTAATATGTCACGTTTATTTGCTAGCTGTGGTCTTGGGCCTCTGTGTTTCAGTGTCCAGCTGCCAGGTGGGCGCAGTGCCATAGTTAAGAACCTGGACTCTGGGGCCCAACTAGTGGGTCTGAATTCCAGCTCTATCTCTGACTAATTACATAATCTGGGCAAGGTATGAGGGCTCTGTGGTCGGGCCCCTCATCCCACAATGGTACATTGGAGACAAGAATACCTCCCGCCCAGGGTTTTGGAGATTAAGTAGAAGCTTGCATACAAAAGCACTCAGCACAGTTCACCCTCAGTATGGGTGGGAGGACTATGACCTTTACCAAGCACTATGTTAAGCTGAGGGGGGGAAGGGTCAAATTAGAACTAAGCCAGAAGGCCCCAGTTTCTGCTTCTCCAAAGTCAGCTGACACGGGCAAGTTCTATTGAATTTGCCAGATCAAATAAGATAACTGAGGAAGGCCAGCTGGTCCCTGCCAGTTACCAAGGACCTCAGGATTTTGTGGGTCTGCTTTACGCATGGTTGCCTAGGGGCTTTGAAGAGCAGAGTGGGAGAGCTGGCGGTCCTAAGAGAAAAAAACCCCTCCCTTCCTGCCGCCCCTTGCTCCCCTGGGTGGACTTCCCAGGTGAAGGTGCCATTTGGGGCTGAGGGCTCCAGATGCTGATTGGTCGGGTGACAGCAGCCCTTTGTACCCCAGGTTCTTTTCTCGGGTCTCCTTCCACTCCAGCCCACCCCAGCTCCTGGAGGCCCAACTCTTACCTATTCGAACTCTCCATGTGCAGGAGCTTCGGAAGTAGGAATAGAGGATGGGCTGAGGAGAGAGAGGATGAGGGAACGCATTAGCACATGCTGGGGTGCTCTGGGTCCCTGGAGCACACTGGCTGGAGGCAGCAGCCCCTGCTCAGGGGGCTCAGCATGGTCTCTCCTCATCCCTGCCAGGCCTCCCTCCTCAGGCCTGCATCTGGGCAACTCAGGCCTCACACAGAGATCTCCGGTTCAGAGGTTTCAGAAGTCATGTGAGGTCCCTCATCTCTAAACTGCAGCAAACTACTGTGTGTGCGGGACCCCTGAAAGGGGGAGCTAGCCTGCAAGTGGCCTGCCTTACCTTGCCAGACTCAGTCATGGTGCTGCGGTGACCCTTGGCCTCCTGGAGAATGTCCGTTTTCACAGAATTGGCCTGCAGGGGGAGGGACTCTGAAGGGGTGGCTCCCTTGAACCAATGGGAAGTTGGGCTAGAAAGGCTGCCGGGAACTTTGACTCTAGCCAGAAAAGGCTTCTCTTTCCAACTTGTGGGAAGAATTTTATGCTCCTCGTGGAGCCAGATTTGGTGTCTAAGGCAGGCAGGCTACTGATTTTGAGGCCACAGTTCATGGAACCAGCACTGCCTGACCTCGAAACTGCCTTCTCTAGTTTTCAGTTCCCTCATCTATCAAAGGAAAGATTGCCCTAAAATGATGGCTTAGAGTCCATTTAGTGCTGGGCCAGGAAGACCAGGAATTCCTTGATGCTTCAGTGTCCATCTCTTCCTATTCATCCACCCACCAAACCTCCAGGCTCTCCACTGGTGCAGTAATATAGCTGGGGTATATTTACACCAAGGCTGAAGTGGCAGGTTGGCAGCCCAGTGCTCTGTTTGGTCTCAAAGCATTTAGAAAGGTTTCAATTAGTTGCAAAAAAAAAAAAAAAAAAGGACATTTCATATCATTTCATATGCAAAGTCTGTTGTCTCTTTTTCCTTAAAAAAAAAAAAAATCAGAGCAGACTGGGGCTCCTGAGTAGAAATAACTAATCAAGAACAACTAGCGGCCCATTCTAATCAGGGTATGTCCTCTCTGATTTGCCTTGGTGCCTGCCTGGCCTACTTCTCTCATTCATTACCTTTAGGCCACCTCTAAAGTTTACGGAAAAGGTTAAAATCTCTGGAGCTTCATGGATAACGAGACAGAAGCACTGGCATTTAGCTCATGAATCTTCAGGCAAACACATGTGTATCCATGTAGATAAGGTTGAACTGAACAGATTTTTCTCAGGTCACCCCTCTGGCTACAGGCATTTCACTCAAATTCCCTCTCCTTTCACCATGCCAAGCACACCAATCTACTATCTAAACCTGCTGTTTCTTACTGTCTCTGATGTTCTTGGTCTTCTAGGGCAAGGGCACAAGTAGGGACCTCAGCCCTCCCACGTGGGTTCCTGAGCCTAAGCTCCATCCTGTACTGAAGGGCCCTTTTGTGGGAAAAATGAAGATGGTTCCAACACCGAAAGCAGATGAGAGGGGGTGGGTGTCTTTGGAAGGGGAGGAGGTGTGGCCACAATCAAGATTACCCTTTTTGGAGGTATATCTCTTTGTTGACCTGGCCAGGCTGGAGGGGCCCCTGGGGTTGAGACAGGGCCAGTGAGGGAGGGGTTAACTAGGGAGCAACAGATCCCATTTCAGAGGCTTTGCCTCAGTTACTAAATGTCATACCCTTGGTCTGCACTTGCCATGACAGTCACTGTAAATGCCTCTGCCCTCAGGTTTCCTACTCTTGGGCCAGTAGAGACAGGCTGGAGGGCAGATTTGGCTCTTTCTTTTACCAGTGGTAATATATGAACCATCCCTCTCGCTTTTGCAGTTGCACAGCTGATTTTATGCCCAACTATTCATCTCATCACCACTCCGGGAATTCGTTTCCAATTCAAATACAGGTTCTCACCACTCTAGACAGGATTTTATTTTCAAGCCACTTTGTACACATGCCTTTAGAGAAAGGCTCCCCAAATCCCATTTGGGGGTATTAAAGCGATGCTATATCCCACTTGGTGTACCTGCCTCCGAGCAATAAACGGCAGCTGGTAAGATTCATAGGGGAAGGCGGGAAAAACATGAAATTTAAGAGATTCTCGGGGCCTTTTTTACAGGTTGACTCAATGCCGCTGGGGCAGGCCCGTGAGGATCCCCGGGAGGCCCTGAGTGCCACTGCCGCCCCACGCGCCGCGCCGGGGCGCTCTTAAAAGGCAAACACTGGAAAGCCGTCTGGTAACGGGACTTGTCCAATCGATCGGCTGGGAAAGGAGAAAGCAGGGCTGTGCAGAAGAAGGTGTCGGAAATCCTAGGGGAGGAAAGGGTGAGGTGCGAGGGGATAGGCCGGCCAAGCCCAGCTCGCCCAGGTGCTCCCAGGTGCGCGACACGCCTCGCGTCCACCTTCCAGGCAGCGAAGGCTCCCGCCCGCAGTGCGCAGGCTCCAAGAGAGACGGCGGGCGCACTGCATGCTGGGAGTCGTTGTCGGCCTGTGGGCGGGGCCTAAGGGCTCACCTTTGACTCCGCCCCCAGGGTTTCTCAGTGTTTCTAAGCAGCGCCCCTCTCCCCGGGTGCGGGGCACAGACCTTCCCTGCTTGCATCTCGCACTTCTGGCGACCTCTCCTCCGGGCTAGGAAACTTCAAGCCTGGGGTTCTCCGAGTCGTCGACGATCGAGGCCCAGTGGGACCCCGACACGTCAGAACCTTGGCTTTCGTCTCGGTAAAGCGAGCGGTTGGACTAGAATGACCTCTACGGGCTCTCCTGGCTCGCCCCGCCCCGCCGCCACGCCCCCTCTCCCGGTGCTGCCGGGAATTGCAGTTCTCTGAGCCCCTCTCCTCCCGGGCCCGGTCGCCGGCCTCGCCGCCCGGCATGCTCTGCGCCACCAGCGGCCTCCTAGCGGCCTCCGCACTCCCCGCCCAGCCCAGAGGCCGGGGCCCCGCGCCCCGCTGCCGGCGCCGGGAACTACATTTCCCAGGGCACCCCGAGCTGTCCCTTTGTGACTTCTTGGCGGGGAGGCTCGCAAGACCTAGTGTGCCCGCGGGCCGGAGGGAGGTCCTGAGGAGGGGAAGGATGCCGCCGGCGGGGGGCGGAGGTCTGGCGGGGTCCGAGCTGCGGCCCCGGAGGGGACGCTGTGGGTCCCAGGCTGGTAGGGCCGTGAGCCCGAACGTGGCCGACGAGGCTGCAGCGCGAAGCCCCAAACGGCCTGCCGGGGGCTCGCGGCGCTTCTGTATAGTCGGCCGGTGGGTCCCGCTGGCCCTGGTGACGCTGCTGTCCTTCGCCACCCGCTTCCACCGTCTGGACCAGCCACAGCACATCTGGTGAGTGACGGGTGGGAACTTTGCGGGCACCATGGCAACCGGAAGGCGGGACGCGTCTTGGGATTGGTCCTCAGGCCTGGAGGGGGCGGGATACACATTGAGCCGGGGCGGGGTCGCGGTGGAGGAGAAATGGGCGGGGCGGGGCTTGCCTCTAGCCAGGTGCCATCTAAAGGCTATTTTTTTGGAATGGCGGTGGCATTTTTAGATCTGAGGAAACAGTCTTCATTTCCAGATTATTTTGTAGTGTCCCTCTTTGCTATCAAACTGACTTTTACAGGTGCTTTGAAACTTTCCAAGGAGAATTGAGAATTCTGAGTATAGAATTTTCTATGGTCTACATTCGAATCTGCAGGATTTCTAGGCATCAGTGAAGAGGATATCTTTCACTGATTCTTCGGGAGCAGGGACAACTTGGGTGACTAGGGACTGCGGCAAGAAAATAAGTGTGGGGTCATCCCATGAGGATTCTCTCTCCCCACAATCTTACATGTCTACCTGGCTTCTTGCAAATTTTCACAGGAATATGCAACTTCATTGGCTACTCTGGTTAAACTGCTGACACTTAATCCTGCCTGACAGGAAAGAAAAACAAACCGAAACAAAAATAATTGAACAAGAACCAATGAAAATGAACTTTCAAGATGGGTTCACTTTATTGTATATAAAGCGTACATTTAAATTGATTTAAAATACTGCACAACAACAGTTAAAAAAAGAGAAAAACCAAGTGTTGGTAAGGATATGGATCAGCCAGAATTTTACTCAACCAGTGGAATGAGTGGAATATACCCGTACTGGAAAACTGCCTTGCTGTAGCTTTAAATCTGAACTGTTGACCCAGCCATTTCATGTGATCGTATTTGTGCAAGAGGGCATGCATGTGGTGCTCACAAATGCTCATAACTTTCATTTAAAAAAGAAAAAACAACACTGCCTGACAGACGCAGGGGCCAACAATTTGTTCCAAAGAGAGCATCTAATTAATAAGACCCCTGTCAGTAGGACTCAAATCAGCAGAAAGAGGCCAACCCGTGGCACTTAACCACACTCTCCAGGTGTCTGGATTTAGCCACCTGTGAATGTATTTTTGGTGGGGAACAACCAGTAAGCCTTATTTGAAAAAACTGTTTATGTTCAGTCTGTTATTCGTATAAGCCAGTCTATTACCCATTATGACTTGTGCACCGGGTTTCAGACAGGTGTCATCTGATTTTTGGTGTCCTATAGTTATTGCTTTGATGACCCTCCGCCCTTCTCCTGCCAAAAAAAAAAAAAAGCAATTTCTATGCCCAATGAAAAACTATTCCATGGCCCATTCTTCCATGGAGGTGGGCAGTTCACCCCACTTCAGGAGTTTTTGTTAACTTTCATTTGCATCACATCATCTTTGACTTAGAGCACCATTACAGTGGCTTGGTTAAGCCACATGGGCAGCGCCACTGAACAGTGCCACCTCAGTCACATAAGAACTGACAGCTAAGGTTATCAGGAGAAACACATGAAGTTGGTTTAGAGTGACAGAAACTTGTGCTGGTCCATGCAACCTTGCGTATGTTAGAGGGAGGTCCATGACGGGGACTGGTGGTCAGGCACATCAGAATAAGTCAGAACTAGCCAGTTTCATATAAGTTTTTCTGATGTCATAGTGCAATGGCAAAATCTTCAGGTTGCCACAGATAGATAGGGTAGGAACTGGGCCTGGGGAAGAAGAAGAGCCTCCATTGTCTCCCTTCTTTTGATATTTCTAGGAGTTTAAGGTGGACTCTGTGCCCTTCCCCATGCGATATCGTCATGGGTGCCTCACCTCTACTGACACTTTCTCAGGTTCAGTGTCCACGATGCTGTTCTAGTCTAGTCTTCTGCCTTTAGATACACCACTGAGGCAAGAGACACACTTCATGCAATTAACCCAATTGCCAGGGTTTTATTTCTCTCCTCTGCTGTATAATCGGTGTGTCTCACCCCATTACCTATCATTTCACCTTTTCTCTATCTTCTGTTAATATCCAGAACTTTTTATGTATGTATTTTTTTACATCATTCTTCATTTTGTGCTTTTTTTCATCAGTTGTAATCCCTGTGGACTTCCCACAGCAGCCACTTCACTCATGTGCCATCACCATAGTCCCATGTTTTGATCCTGTTCCCCTCTCCTTCATATATATATATATATATATATATAGTATATTTCCCTAATCCCTTATACTCCTGCTATGAGTGAAACCATCCAGTATTTTTCTTTTTCTTTCTTATATCCAGAACTTTTTGCCAAGGCATTGTTAGAACATTGACAGACTCATTATATGTCTCTCACCTTCACCATGTGAGAATTCTGGGGACTTGACAAATAGTGCACTCATTATCTTTATGCTCTAGAAACATGTCACTCCCAGAAAATTCTGGGAAGGAAAGACGAATCCTTCCTAGGCATGGTCAGTGAAGAATCTTAGATTTTATTATTTTTAAAAAAGGTTTATTCATTTTTTTGTGCATACAGAACTGGGGTACAGGCCAGAGGTGAGGGGTGGTGAGAGGATTTACCAGAGACAGAGTGGGGAGCAGAACAGGCAGATCAACAAAGTACTTGCTGAAGGGAGCAGTGGGTGAGGTTTGCTGTACCATGTGGGTCACCTCTGGGACCGGGGGTCGAACTTGCACTGAAGCAGCAGTGGCTAGCTTCACAGTGCTGCACTTAAATCTGTTTTGCCACCAGGGTTTATATAACCCTCCGCCCTTGTCTTGTGCACTACCCAGTGGTGGCTAAGAAGAGATGCATCCTTTCTGGTGAGGACTGGATTAAGTGCCTGAACTGCCTTAGTAAATGAGAGAAGCAGAGTCAGAAATTTTTTGAGAAGACTCTTCAATGTTTGACAATATCAGATGCCTTGGAAGTAGGGAGTATGGAATATCATCAAATACCTTCACAATTGACCCATTATAGGGTCAATTTGACCCATTGCAAAAAAAATAAAGTACACCTTTTTTACTATGGATGGCTTGAAAACATGACATAGTGTAGTTTCAGGGGCCACAGTGGTATATGCAGGGCTGATGACTGGACTGGAACAGCATCAGCAGCACTAAGCTGAGAAAGTATGTGCAGAGGTGAGACAATGACAGTAGAACCCAGAGAAACGAACAGCCCTGAGTGTCATTTTCCTCAGAGCAGGCCTGGTTAGTGCCCCATGCCATGTGGCTTCTTCTAATGTAAGATGAACAGGCGACTCTTGGCAGGAGTCATAAGTCACCACAATGCAGTGTTGGTGTCTGCTTCAGAGACTTTGAGTTTGTGTTGGGTCTGTGACGGTAGAGGTGTTCCTGCTGGTGCACTGATGCATCCGGGGGCCAGTGGCAGCAGGGTTGGATGGTGCAGATTTGCCCAGCAGCTTGATTCCAGCCAGTCTTGGCCGCCTACTGTCCCTTCATGCAGATAGCTACATGCGCCGTCCAGATTGTCCCCTCTGCAGACTGTCAGACAGAGAGAAGTGTTTGTAATCTGTTTATAGTCTTCCAAGAGGCATACCAGATGGCTACCATCAGTAAAAATGTAGCTTGTCTGTGTCTCAGGAGGACTGTCTAAGGCCAGGGTGGTGGCTTCAGGGCAGCCTGTGGTGCTGGTCTACGCTGCAGTTGGCACTCCAGAGCTGTCGTGGGGCTGCGGGATGGCTGCTGCCCGGTGGATACCACCAACTTTTAATTTAGTCTGTCAGTGAGCCAGACACAGGCATTAGAGAAGATTTTGTGAATCAAGAAGCTTTTGTTGGAAGTGCACGGGACTATGGTGATGGCACACGGGTGACTTGGTGATGGGAAACCCGTGGGGATTACAATTGAGATAAAAAAAAATGTACAAAATGATGTAAAAATAAACTGCTATTAAAAAAAAAAAAAGCTTTTGTTAACCAGCAGCTTTTACTTTAGGTGGTGAAATGGAAGCTAGAATCTTCCAAAGTGGGAACTGCCACTTGTTCACATAAAATTGTGTCTTCTCTTGGGCGCCTGGTTCTTCTCTGGAGCCCACCATTGCCACTGGAACAGAAATGAGGAGCCCTTCTCTTTTCAGTCATAGATTCCAAGTCACCCACTTCGGATTGGCAAAATCAACTGTTGTCCTAACACCGTTGTCAGGCACTCAGTTTCTAGGGACTTAGTGATGCATTTAAAATTTTAAAAGTTATGTGCCTGGCGCCTGCCTACTGCAGGTGGCACTGTTATCTCGGAGAATAGTCCTCAGCACTCTGGCAGCCATGATGTCTTTAAAGCTGTGATTCCCATTTCTTTCTGTGATTTATATTATTACATTTCTCTACCCAGCAGGGAAAGGGTTTACATCGCAATGTGTGGCAGTCTCGGATCGGGGTAATCCTCTTTGATACTTGCAGGATAAATACCACAGTTAATCATTTAGCAGTGGAAGCCAGGACAATAATAGAAGGACCCTACCCACAAGGCCATTTTGCCTGCCCATCTCCCCTGGGAATTTGGCTTAAGTCCTATCAAATAAATCTGGGCACTTTCCCCCATTGAGCTAATAGGTCTAAAAGACCTGCATCAGGAATGGGGTGACAGGCAACCAGAGAGTATATCATTCCCTAGTTAAGAACGTGGGGGTGCTGGGTACACCAGCCATGGCATCACTGCTCCCCAGAATGCTTGCCTGTCGAGCCCAGGGGCTTGGGGCCCCTTTCTGCTGGCCCCTGCATAACTGCGATGGTCACCCGGCAGTTCTCAGCACCTTTGGTTACTTGTGTGACATAAATCCTCCTCTCCAGGGGATGAGTAGGATGGACTCATAGACCCCTGTATCTAATAGAATCCTGAGTTTGAGTTCCTTTTCCCCTCTTGAGTTCCCCCACACCCTAAATATGTGTGTATGGCCTGTGTCATAAGACAGTGAGACCTTACTAACCATCTCACTCTTTAAGCAGCTCGGGTGACCGTAGAGGAGAGGCGTCTTAGACACAGAGGGAGAGAGGGCTCGAAGTCACTAAAAGAGGCATATGTACCTTCGGCTCGAGTATACAGCTCTCCCAGGGGTCTTTCAGCATTTTCACTTTACCCAGAGTTCTGTATGAACAGTGAAGTACTGTTGGCATCACTTATGTAAATTCTGGAAACTTCTTAATTCAGCAGCTGCATCTATATTGCCTTTTCGCTGGGTCTTCAAGACTTGCTTTGCAGTCGCGATTACTTGCCCTATAGTCTCTTCCTCCTTTTATGCAGAAGATAGTGCGCAGTGCCCAAGACAGTATTTGGATAGATTATTTCATTCCAGCCTCTTTCTAGTGAACCTCATCAATAGATAGGGCAGTGGGGGACTCCTACTACTTCCCTTGCCCACCACTCAGGCAAGAGCATTTGCTATCGAATTCCAGAACCGGCCATCAGCCCATGGGACTCATCCTTTCTCTTGCAGAAAGCTATGTCTTAGCATCTTATGCTTGTTGCCAGAACGGTCGAGGTCTGGGATTTTATTTTACCCTACTCACAAGCTGTTAGGCTAGCCTGTCGCTATTTTATGGATGCTGGCAGAGACACCGTCCTGGTTCAGAGACGAAGACTTCATTTCTCATGACACAGCAAGCAGGATGCACCATCAGCATGCAGGTGTCAGTTCTCCTTGCTCCCAGGCCCCATGTGGTGTCATGGGTCTTGACGCACGTGCAGCGGGTACGTCATAGTTGAGGAATGTTGATGGGAGAAATCTGCTGTTTTGTAATGAGCAAGGTCGAGCTCTGTCCCAGAGGGAGAAGCCAACTCTTCACTTGTGTTGCTTGCTGTAGATACAACATTGAAAAATGGCCCGAGTTAAGAACAGTCAGGACCTTGCATTCTTGGCATACCCTGTAAGATCTGGGGGAGAAAATAGAACCAGAGAGGACTTTCTCCTGGCAGACATGCAATAACAACCAAAAGAAAATGTGACTATATCTGCCAGACTTACTTGAGAAATTTTTTGAGTAATGGTATCGCAATTCTTTGTCAGTATTTTTCCAAACAGATGTTAGAACTAACCACACACGTTGGGACAGTTAGACTGTTCACAACAGAACTAACCACCCACGTTAGGACAGTTAGACTGGTCGCAACAGAACTAGCCACACATGTTGGAACAGTTAGATTGTCCCAGCAGATATGGAACTAGAGAGTTCTTTTATATGCACGATCTGAACTGAGCCCTGTTACCTCCCTTTGAGGGGCACATGACAGATATAATTAGTATCTTCACTGTGGATATGAGAAAGAAGACCAGAGAGGGTGAGTGCTTTTCCAGGTCATGCTGTTAGAAAGCTGGGGCTGGAGCTGTCTTCACGTGCCAGGCCGTGTGCTGAACAGAGATAGAAGGAAATTCACTCTGTTGGATCCACTGAGTTTGAAAAAAAAATACCTTATAGTTTTGGGGAAAAGCATGTTTTGCCCTTTATATTGTGGATGGGTAATGACTGTTCCCGGAAGCTCACTAGGTATGGATAGACTCTAGAACACCGGTGTGCTGAGCTGCAGAGACGCTGACAAACCAGTAGCGTGGCTCTGCCGGATATCGGGCTGAAGCTGTGAAGCCGGCGTTAAGGGTACTTGTAGAAGGACAAGAATTTTCATGTGCCCACAAGCTAGTGTATTAGAATCACTGATTGATTTGCAAAATAATTTGTACAATATGGAGAGATTTTTAGGCTCTTAACCGAGTAAGACAGGCCTCAGTTTGCCTGTACCAGTTAGTTTATTATACTATCAGTGAGGTCATAGCCAGCAGGTTAGTGATCACAAGGATGATGATCGAAGTCTGCCTCAGAAGCTCTCTCTGACCGCAGACCCCACACAGATTTGGGTAGCACCAGTAATGGACTGGCCTGCAGCTAAGATTGTCCCAGGGGAATAGAAGTTAGAAGACTTAGAGGAAAACGTACTACAGACCTTTCTGTATTTTAGGAAAACTGTGCCCTTTATCAGTAAATGGAAAGTCAAGGTAAAGAATAAATATAGATTTAACTCATTGTGGTAACTAGTTGGTAAATATTTGCTAACTTTTCTCATCTGTCTAAAGGAAGGTTGATGACTGACCAGCTTGCTGTATTGTGTCCTCAATTTACTTGTCAAAAGCTTTTTTTTTTTAAAAATAATATAATAGATTATTTTTACATCATTTTGTGCCTTTTCCCATCTCAGTTGTAATCCCCGTGGGCTTCCCATCGCCAAATCACTCTGTGCCATCACCGTAGGCCAGTACGCTCTGCCCCACAATTTTATGATCCCATTTCCCACTCCACCCCCATAAAATATGAAAGCTTTTAAAAAATAGTTTTAAAATTATTCAATATCTTTTTAAAAATGGTGTGCATCACTGTATTTAGGGGTAGAGGGCTCGTCCTTCAGGTTTCTTCCCACAGCGCTCCTGCCCAAGCGACCGTTGCCCACCCCACAGCGCTCCTGCCCAAGCGACCGTCGCCCACCCCACAGCGCTCCTGCCCAAGCGCCCGTCGCCCACCATGAGGGACCACTGTGTGCCCTGCAGTGGCTTTTGTCCCTCCTCTTCTCGATGGCTCATTTCTATAGTCAGCTTTCAAGAACTAGTTTTTAAGTACAGGCTAGAGGTGGTGAGAGGATTCACCAGAGACAGAGCGGGGAGCAGAACAGGCAGATCAGTGAAGCACACTGCTAAGGGGAGCAGCGGGTGGTCAGGAGAG